GGCTATAAAGTTCACGCGTAGCTTTCTTGTGCGCTCAGCTAATGTTCACTCTTAAGTTAAGTTTTTTGGATCAACCACATCAACGATTGACCCGAGCACGTCCACTTTCATCCAATATTTTTGGGTAGACAAGAACAATTGTAACTCGAAGTTCATAAAGAAAATTTTCTAAACAAACTCGAAGTTCCTTAACGCTATGGATATCCTTTATTAACAATATCCAAGCATCGTACCCAAACATTTAGATCGAGTAAACAGTGGCGTTAACGATTGTTGAGACTTTCGAGTTACAATTTTGTTGCCCCTCTCGACAAAGTAGTGAAAGTGAACGGGTTAACATTGTGCGTAGTCGAGTGAAAAAATAAGTATAACTCGACAGTAGGCGTAGTCGTCTCAATTGGACACACATATAAAACAGGGTTCACTAACGGGGACAACACGTGTTCTTCAGACATTCGAGACGTTTGACTGTTACCGAATACTGTCAGGTGTGCTTGTTGTAAGGAGACTTTTGTCGATGTTTTTTTAAGCTTTATGTTATATATATATATTTGTGTTTATACATCACTGAATATTAGGGGCATTACAATTAAAAATTATAGCGCGGTTTGTGTTTGGATAGCTTGGTAAATTCATCTCCATGTATAACATTTCTTGGCGCATAGGTGGTAGCTCTATAGGGTATAATCATCATTTCTTTACAGAGTGAAAAAATGTCATATCGTGTCTGACATCATGTCTTGATATATTTTTAAAAAAAATGCATTATAATGTTTCAATTTGAAAGTGCTGTATTCAGCGAGATTAAATCGCACTGACAATCTTGTGACGTATGGCTATTGTATTGTGCAGTTATTACCTGAGAAGAATAACACGACACGCGGGGCAGTTCTAGAACTACCCAGAGAATTATCATAAATATGTCTAATGATGAAACTTAAAAAGAAAACTATAATTTGTTATTGGCAATACCCGGCACTCGAACCCTGCTTTATTTAGATTAGCCACTTCTAAGCAGGTGATTGGTGGGAGGAATTGAGTGATGTGTGACAAATAAATGCGTGTATCAGGTTTGTCATGCCATGTACATCCGGGTATCCGATCCCTCGGGACTGTGATAAAACTAAGTTCTTACAATAAATATGTTGTTTTCCTTGTTGTTCATCCCCTCTTTCGCGCGTCTTTATCTCACCGTGTCTGTGCTGATGATGTGGTTCTCATTGCATTGCCTCCACTGACACTTCCAATAGATATTTCAAAGATAAATGGGTAAACTTTACTTTCTGTTCCATTTTTTTGTTACGACATCAAACAATATTTACTGTACATTTCATGAGCACAAAGACATCATTCTATGACAACTCAAAGTAATCAATTCAATTTTTTAACCAAAATAAGGATTGTCTCGTTTAAATTAACTTGATACAGTCAGATGATACATATGTTAGTAATAATAATAAGAACGGCCGCCTTTTGTCGATGAAGCCGACTGAGTCTGCGCAGAAGATCAGTTACGCTCACCATACATATCATACTTGTTAAATACTAGCGCACGTATTTCGCATTTCTTCGTGTCTTGTTTCGTGCAGCAACGGTAATTTGTGGTGGGTGTGCAAATCCAATTATTTTTAAATAACTGCCATGATCATTACTTTGTTCCGACACATACTTACAAATAAAGTATAAATTGTACAAGCGCCCAAAACGCACTAGATTATTTGCAAGATGCGATGTCATGTGATGCTTTTTTCAAAAATCAAATCTGCATGATTCCTATTCAGCTAGTCGTGGTATAATCGCTAAATGAACCTCTAATAAATATGTATATACCAATCTATGGTTTGATAGTTCGATATGTGACCATTGATTGAAACACCATAAATTACTGAAAAAAAAAAAAAAACTTGTGCTCGCTCTGTGTTTTTTTCCCATGTGTGCGGGCATTGCTAGTATAGTCGCACCAGAAAACGGCCTTTTGTGAGAATAACATATGGATGGATCTGAGCAGCTGTCTGAATGATCAACACATTGTTATCGGAAGCTGTTTACAACAATCATGACAACTGATGGTTCATT